AGACTACTCTCTCTCTCTCTCTCTCTCTCTCTCTCTCTCTCTCTCATGGTTTAGGCCTCTGGGCATTTGGCCATCTACTATAGTACTCATTTGGAAAGTCTTTTATATTGTGAAATACGCATTTGCTAACTTGCAAAAAAAATGCAATCTATATATGGTATCTAAACTTTTCTATTTTCTCTTCATTAATGGACGTTCATGTCCTAAAAAATCTGATCTCATATTGTAATGTGTAGACATGTGAAATGGATTGCTTGAGCAATGTAGCTGCAATGCGTGATATAGTTTTTCAAGTGGATTTCCTGGCTCGAATGCTCTTATTCCACCTGGTGCTAGCTTTGGTTATCATCTTAGAGGTTGGGGCAAGCCTCTTGTTGATGAAGTAAGCTTCATATGATTCTTGCATTCAAGCTATCATAGTCTTTATAACATGTTGTATGGATTCTTCTTCTGTGCGATTGTTTATTCTTTTGTGACCGCTTCTGTGAAATTTTTATTATGTAGTTCGGATGCCCACTATATGGGGACGTTTTTGGTGTCCAACAACAAGAACAACCTAATTATGAGGTATGGAGATATGCATATGGGAAAGCTTTCTATGTAACCCCACCCACATATATAACATATGTGACCCCTGATCTCAGCCATTAGATCTAAGTAAATGGCTTTCTATTTTATTTATATTCACCCTAGTTTATGATGGGACACTCAAAATTTCATCAAAAAATATTTTGTATAAAAAATGAAAAATAAAACGGCGTATGGCACGACACTGTGGCATGAGCAATTGTAGCCATCAATTTTGAATCAAACAGCTTAGAAGTGGGGTCACGTATAACTTCTATGTTGTTTGGGTCACACAAAAAGCTTTTTGTATCCGTTTTCACTTGGTTTGTTGAATTAATAGAATAAATCTTTTGTTTTATTATAATAAACTTCATGCGTGGGCAATTAAATCTTCCTTTGTTGCAAAATGACTTTCCACGTTACTACGGTTTTCTTAGTTTTCTTAATGATGGCGGTATCATTGTTGTCTCATTATGCATTTTCCTTTGATTGCAAGAAGAACTTGTTGATAACAAGCATTGGGATGACTTGGAGGAAGAGGAGGAACAGATGGAAGAAGAGGAATTGGAGGCCAGTATTCAATCAGTTGCCAGCCTCCCTCCCTCTCTCTCTCTCTCTCTCAAAGGAAGCTCAAGATGTAGGAAAAAGGAAGGGAATGCAAAGAAGAAGGATTTCAAGTTTTAGGTACAAAGCTATACATCAAATTCACATAGCATGAATGCTCCCCCAACCCCATTGGATATATTCTGTTTGGTTAATATATTGTGAATTGCGAAATTTGAAGGATCTGACATATTGAAAGTTCTTATTGACATGTAAAATGTGAAGTTCTTTTGTCGATCTTGGGCCATCTTGGTTCAATTAATGAATGGACAGGGCAGCTAGTTGTACTATTGAGGTAGGAGTGATGTTTAAAGGGAATTTGATTAGTGAATCCATTATGAGATCGTCAATGAATCTTAACTGTGCCTGGTGGAAAGTTAGAAGTGGTTTTAATTTCTTTAGGGACGCCATGACCTATAAAGCATGAATTTCTCAAGGTTCGCCTATGTGATGCTCTTGTTTTTATGTTTAGTTTCTTCTTTTGTTTTCCCCTTGGTGTCAACAAGCCACAAACACCATCTAAACGAATAAGAAATGTCCAATGTTGGCGTGAAATAACTGGGTGCATACCATAGTTAGCAAGCCATGAAATAATAAAATATCGGCATATCAAAAATTCGGTTATAAATTGGTTTTATTTCAAAAGGTTGGAGGAAAAACTCAATTAAAAAATATGGATCACCAAAAAAAAAGTTTAAGTTATAGAATCACAAATATTTTGGATTTGATTAAAAAAAATGTATTGAAAAAATCCGATACGCAAAGATCATAGTTGGTAAGTCTCTGTTTAAAACAAGATTTTTTCAATAAATCTCCGAATTTTTTATATCCGTTAAAAACTGAGTTTTTTCAAAAGATCTTCAAAAAATCTCTTTTTTTAGTAGTACCAAAATAAATTTGTATTTTATCTTTACTAAAAAAAACATATTCCCTATAACTTTTTTTATTTATTAATTTAATATTATTGAAATTTGGTGTAAAGATAACAAGTAAAGTAACAATAAGAGTAAATTAAAAATCTTGATTTAACAGAAAGTACTTTTTTTTATTTTGTACATATTTAAATATATTTTTTATTTTTCATAACTTTTATATTAATAATTTTTTCACAATTTTATCTCAGCTAAATTGAGTTTGGCCCGGCTTGAATTTGTCTCGGCTCGGCTCGGCTCGGCTAATATCGGCTAGAATTGGCTAATCTCGGCTTAGCTTAGCTGATGTCAACTCGGCTCGGCTAATATTGGCTCGGCTCGGCTCAAACCAATGAAATTCTTTGTATTTGAATTAAGATAAGATATTTTAGCTGAGCCGAGCTGATAGAAGCTAAGCCAAACTGATAAAAGCTGAGCCGAGCCGATTTAAGCTGAGCCGAGCCGTTTCAAGCCTAGCCAAGCTAATATAAGAGGAACTTTTATGAGGGCCAGCGTAATATCCACGAAAACGGGAAAAATTTTATGTGTTTTTTTTAGAAAAATCAAATCTTTCTGTTTAGATTATACGTAAACCGATAAAAAAACTGGGGCTTAGCTCGAGTGGTTCGTAAGCAGTCGACAATTATTTTGGTGGAGCTGAAGCCTGAAGTTTAGAGTAGGCTACACGGTAAAAGCCAAGCTAGATAAATGCTTCCATGGGCTTCTTCTGGTTTTCTGGGTTTTCAAATTGAGGGGAAGAATTGGAGAAGGGAGCGATGCCATGTCTCCGTTGACTGCGAATCTTCATTTTCTTTCGGATGGTGTGCCCGAGTCTCTTGCAACCCTAGTGTTAGCCCATTCCATTATCACCCAAAACCCCTTTGCCATCCTTCACTCGTTGTCCCAATTCACGGCTCTGGTTTAGCTCGGATACTCATTTGTTAAACGTCTAGCAAAATGCAGCGCAGACAGCTTCCCCAAGCTTCAAATTCTACGCCGAAGATGGAGGATTGGGGTCAGTTTTCGTCTCCTTGCTTTCCCTGTAAACGAAGATGAACTGCAGTTGCAGTTAATGTTTAATCTTTGGACTGAATTGATAGTTTGCATGCTTCAATATTATAATGCACCATGGTATTGTTGGACCAAACCAGGTGAATTATGAACGTTTGTTGTCATTGGATGTGTAGGATTATGTATTCCATGCTGATAGACATCAATATTGTGTTAGAAGGCTTATCATCTTGAACTAGGGGGTTTAACGTAAAAATAGTCAGTGCTTTGGAAGAAGATGAAACATAAAACTAGGTGATGAATGAAACTTTTTTCAATAATGCATATTTACCCAAGGAAATGTTCCTTTCTATAAGTCTTTTGTGGCATGCAATGAGAAACAGAGCATCAACATATGAACTTAAGCAAATATGGAGCTCACTGGTTTTATGTGGATATGTTATTTGCTGAGATGGGAGATGAAACCTTTATTCCTCCTTGTTGCTTATCCAAATCAGACCTCATAAGGGTGATATCTATCAATTTTAGAGTAGTATTTGTTTGAGTCTCTAGGACTGACAACATCTCCGTGAATATTCAGGGTGTTGTACTTTCGAAAATTCACAAGCCTCTGTCATTTATTGGTCTTTCTTTTAATAGAGATACTAGACTATAATGAATGTTTCTCCATGGAGAAAAAAGGACTACGAACTATGGCTTCATAGAGCTATGAGCTATCCTTGGATGCGTCTGGTTCCGAGTTAGCCAACTCATCTGCCACTGTATTTACCTTCTGAAAAATGTATTTAACAAGTTATTGAGAACTAGTCTTAGTTCTGCTAGTTCTTTAGAAACTACTGATGGCTTTCCAAATTTTCTAAATTACAATGGTAGTATCGAACTTTATAAAACTGATGGCTCATCTGCAGTTACCCCTATTTTACCACTATTTTTGTTGGGTTTTGTGTGTGTGTGTGTGTGCGTGTGTAGAGAGAGAGAGGATCTTGGTAAGGGAAATTGTTGAGAAAAGGGGAGACAGAGAGAGAGGTGCTCTATGAAGTAGAATGGGGGAGAATTTATGTATAACTATGTTTTCATAAGAGTTTGTCAAAAAAAATGCTATCATTAGAGAGAGAATCTTGGTAATGGCATAGATAAACTTGTGAGATGAGAGGTTCTTCTTTTGGTGTGAGGTTTAGGAAAGGGGAGATAGAATCAATGTCTAAGAGACAGAATATAGAAGAGAATAGGTGCGACTAAGGTTGAAGCCGATTTCTATAGGACTTTAATTATATTTAGAAATAAGAGAGAGAGAGAAAGAGAGAGAGAGAGAGAGAGAGAGAGAGAGAGAGAGAGTAG